TATTAGTTTCAATAATTATGGTAGAAATTGATATTAGAAAACCTTTTATCGAAATAGCCATAATGAAGATGAGGTTACTCCTCGAAGGAGTCACAATAACGAGAGAAAGTTTTCCTCCGGTTTATACTTGAAGTGTTGAAGATGACTTGACAACAAAGTCAACTTATGGATGCCACATTATCCGACTTGCCCATGTGGCCTACCATGTCATAAAACTAATGAGTTATGAGGTTAGTTAATTAGTTAAAGAGTTTCTTTTGAATGTTTAGAGTTATTTTAGCGAGTTAAAGGAGCAATAAACTCGTGTAGCCATTCCGTTAAATCAATAAGGTATATATAGGCTTGTATAAATTAGAATGGGCATGGTGATTTTTGTATTCTCTTATTCATGTAATCCACCTTTGTATGAAATATAAAGAAGTAGTCAAATTTCTCTCCTTCTTTCATGGTATCGAGCCCTAGGTTAATCTCTTTTGATCCATCGTCATAAGCTTTTCAAGCTGCACCAATGGCTTCCGCTCTCTCAATAGAGGATCCTCGGTCACCATTTTTCCTTCACCACACGGATAATCACGATGATCGTGATCATATCTCCTCAACTCACTTCAAGTAATTACTCGACCCGGAGACGTTCGTTCTTGCTAGCCTTATCGATCCGAAATAAAAATGGCTTCATTGATGGATTGATTGTAGCACCGAGAGAGGGATGATGTCTCGTTTGGACCATGGTCGAGATGTAACAATCCGATAATTTCTTGGTTACTTAAGTCAATTTCACCACCAATTGCTCGCTATGACTTTCTATATGGATTCAGCGAATAGATATTTAGAGAGTGTTACGGAAAAGATTCTTACGGGTGGATGATTCTAAGGTGTGCAATTTACGAGCACATGTTGAGCTCAATCACTCAAGGAAATCGCATAATTGATGAATATTTTACAAAGCCGAACTCATTTTAGGAGGAATTGAGAAAATATAGACCTTTACCACATTGTGAATGCGAGCAAATGTAATGTGGACGGCTTCAAGAAATACATTGATCTTCACCAAAAGGATCGTGTATTTCGATTTCTCAATGGCCCGAATGAGTCTTCGCGAGCATTGAGGTCAAATGTGATAATGATAAAGCCCGTCTCTCTTGATGAAGTTTACAACTCGGTGATTAGAGAGGAATCACAAAAGTGAGTTCACTATCCTTAGCCTTTTTTTGCGAATCTTCGACTATGTTGAGTAGAGGTATTTCTCATAGTAGATTTAGATGTACATACTCGTGGAAAGTTAGGTCACACTAAGGATTGATGTTTTCGGTTGATAGGATTTCCAAATAGTCAAAGGTTTACTAGAGGATGATCTATTTCCTCTACCATAGCCAACTTTGATTTTACTAGTGGAAGAACTCACTTTGTTAGAGTTAATTCGGTGGTTAAACAAAATAATAAAGGAATTATGTCATACACGGACCGAGCAGAAGGCCAAACCAACACTCCTTTAAACTCTACTACCGAATGTCGGGGAGGGATACAAAGCCACGAGTCTTGTTCACTCAACACCAACTTCGACATTTACTAGCTCTTCTCAATGAGCGAGCACGTCGACTTCGGCTCCACCCAAGGTTACATCAACCACTCCTAACAATGTAGGTATTAGGTCCCCCGAGTCATCACATTTTTGTTGTACGGAATTATCACACCATTCAACACCCTTCATGAATAATGATAGATGGATTGTGGACACGGGAGCTTCGGATCATATAACATATAGTCTAAGTTCTTTCACTTTATTTCATACCATTGATAACACTTTTATGATAATGCCGGATGGATCTAAGGTTCTTGCTACACATTCCGGTACCGTGACTTTATCTCCTACCTTGTTTTACAAAATGTCCTATTCGTACCTTCTTTCAAATTCAATTTGATTTCTATCGATAGACTTACTCAATCCAAAAAGATTATCATTAACTTCAGCGGTGAACTTTATTCTATTCAAGTAATGCCTTCTTGGATAGTGATTGGACTTGCTGCAAAGGCCGATGGAGGTCTTTACTTGATGTAAATTTTCATGTTATGTGTCAAAGTTCATCTCGTGTGAGTCCAGTTTCGAGTTCTAGTCAAAATATTACTTTTGTCAACAATGTAAGTCCTTTACTTGATGCCATAGATTGTTTTGATCTATGGCATTTCGAGTTAGGGCATCTATCTTCCGATAAATTCAAGGTCATTCACCAATATTGTAAAGAAGTTCAAATTGTTCCTCAATCAAATAAAATTCCATGTACTATTTATCCCATGGCTAAGCATAAACGTCTTACTTTTCCTACTCATAAACAAAACATTACTCGTTCCTTTTTAATTAATTCATGTTGATATATGAGGTCCATACTCATAATCTGCTCATGGTGATTTTCGATATTTCTTATCTATTGTGGATGATTTCACTCGCATGACCCGGGTTTTCTTGATGAAAAATAAGTCCAACATTAGCTCTATTCTTTCTAGTTTCTTTATTCTTGTTCATACTCGGTTTGGTTTGGACATTAAACAAGTTCGTTCGGACAATGGTCCGAATTCAAATTGCATCGGCTTTACTCCGAAAAAGGAATTTTGCATAAGCTTTCTTGTGTAGAAACTCCTCAACAAAATGGTATTGTTAAACGAAAGCATCAACATTTACTCACCACTACTAGGGCCTTACTTTTTCAATCTCGAGCTTCTTATTTCTTTTTGGGGGATGCAATTTTGACATCAACCTACTTGATCAATCGTTTACCTTTCCCGGTCTTGCAAAATAGAACACCTTATTAACTTCTCTTCAATAAACTACCTTCCTATGATTACTTAAAGGTTTTTGGATGTTTGTGTTTTGCTTCTACTCTCATTCATGGCGGGAAAAAATTTGATTCTCGATCCAAATAGTGCATATTCATTGGTTATCCTAATGGTATGAAGGGCTACAAGCTTTATGATCCGAATTCTAATTCCGTGTTCATATCCAGAGATTTCATTTTTCATGAGAATGTGTTTTCATTTTCTCTTAAATCTAATTCTTTTTCTCGGTCATCACATAGACCTTTAGTCCATCCTATTTCTATTCCATATTGTGATTTCCCTATTACTATTTTTTAAATGCCCGACCGGACATCACATGATATAATACACCATTCTCCAATTCACCACATTGATCAACTTAGTACTTTCACTATCTCTCACTCCACTCCTACCGTGCCCGACCCCTCATCTTCACACATTCATTCATCCTCACTCGTTACTCGTAACCCATCCTCGGATGCTCTAGTGAGGAAAAGTGACAAAGTCTCATAGCCTCCTTCCTATTTATCCTCATAACATGTCAACCTAGCTACTCCTCCTACTTTACCATTCTCCACTAAGTTTCCCATTCATCATTTTGTTTCTTCCTCTAGGCTTTCCTCATCACATACGACTTTTATGACGAGCATTGTCTCACATTGATGAACCCTAAAATTTTAACCAAGCCGTTAAGGTTACTCATTGGAGAGATGCGATGCAAGCCGAGCTTGATGCTCTTGAGTTGAACAACACTTGGTCGGTTGTATCCCTTCCTCCCGACCATCACAATATAGGCCGCAAATGGGTGTATAAAGTGAAGCTTCTTGCTGATGGGTCTATTGATATATATAAAGCCGAGTTAATGGCTAAGTGGCTACAACCAATAGGCTAGCTATAATTTCCAAGAAACCTTTAGCCTCGTGGTTAAACAAACCACAGTTCATGTCTTCCTTGCTTTGATAGCCTCTCGGGGTTGGATCTTGTCCCAAATGGATGTCAATAATGCATTCCTCAATAGGGACTTGAAGGAGACTCGTTTACATGGATATCCCTTTGGGATTATGTGAGACCTATTTGTCGGCTTCGAAAGTCCTTGTATAGGTTGAAACAAGCATTAAGGCGATGGAATTCTAAGCTTACTCAAGCCCTCTTCGGATTTGATTTTATACAATCAAAGGCGACTACTCCTTATTTATCAAAAAGGTTTCGCCGATGTTTTTCTTGCTTTGTTGGCATATGTTGACGATATTATCATTGTAAAAAACTCCATCGATGTTGTTACGAGTTTAAGAAATACATGCATTCTCGGTTCGAGTTAAAGGATCCGAGCCGGTTGAAATATTTCTTGGGTGTTGAGGTTGCAAAGTCGAGAGAGTAATTGATGTATTTCAAAGAAAGTATGTCCTCGATTTGCTAGCCGAATATGATCTCTTTGGTGCAAAACCAACCTCAACACCAGTTAGTCCAAATGAAAGGCTCACTCAAACCGATGCCGACCTACTAGATAATCCAGACCTTATATAGACAACTTATTGGGAAATTGTTGTATCTTAACTTCACCGGACCGGATATATCATTTACCGCTTAAATCTTGTCATAGTATATGGATAAACCATCACATTCTCATTTACAAGCGACCTTCGTAGTCCTTAAATATTGGAAACAATCTCCCGGGAAAGGTTTATTGTTTCCTTCATCTTCCGATCACGGATCGACGAGCATACGAGTGATAGCGATTGGGCATGTTGTCGATACACTGAAGATCAATGACTCGGCTATTCCATTTTCCTTGGTCATTCCTTTGTTAGTCGGAAATCAAAGAAATAAACCATGGTGGCAAGGAGCTCAATCGAGGCCGAGTATAGAGCAATGACCACAACATGTTGTGAAGTAGTGTGGTTGTTGAGTTTGCTTACGAGAGATGGGATTGAAGCATAAGGAGATAGTTGCACTTAAATGTGATAATCAATCTACTATTTGTATTAGTCGAACCTTGTTCTCCATGAGAGGACCAAACATATTGAAATGGATTGCTATTTCATTAGAGAGAAAGTTGTTGCTTGGAGTTTTGAAGCCGAATATGTTTCTTCGACAAGCAAATTGCAAACTCGTTTACGAAAGCCCTTCGACCTTCTCGGTTTAAATTCTTTGTAAGCAAGATGAGCATGATTGACATACATGCTCCTTTTGAGGGAGAGTATCGAAATAGCCACAATGAAGATGAGGTTACCGCTCGGAAGGAGTCACGACAATAGAGAAAGTTTTCCTCCGGTTTATACTTGAAGTGTTGAAGATGACTTGGCAACAGAGTCACCTTATGGATGCCACATTATTTGACTTGGCCACGTGGCTCGCCATGTCACGGAACTAATGATTTATGAGGTTAGTTAATTAGTTAGAGAGTTTGTTTTGAATGGTTAGAGGTAGTTTAGCGAGTTAAAGGAGCAATAAACTCGTGTGGCCATTCTGTTAAATCAACAGGGTATATATAGGCTTGTATAAATTAGAATGGGCATGGTGATTTTTGCATTCTCTTATTCATGTAATCCACCTTTGTATGAAATATAAAGAAGTAGTCGAATTTCTCTCCTTCTTTCACCTTTTACCATTGAAAAGAAAACATATACAATTAATATTGAAATCAACCTGTCATGGTGATATTTCTTAGTCGGGAAGGACAAAACCAAAAAACAGAGAGCAAGAGGTGACCATACTTGGATGTCGGCCAGTCAACATGGATGCGTAACTAAGCTCCTAATGTCATATGTACATAAAAAACCATCGGCCCAGCATCGTGAAATGTAGCTTTCGCTAGTTTCTTATACATGGCATCAGATGTTGACAAAGCATTTATAGAAGGATCTTGCTGGGGTTACTATGAGTTCGTTGTATATGAAAACTGAAAGGAGTTCGGAACTGTAGCTATCATGTCCCATTTAAAATTTTGATGGGTCAAGCCATGTCCGTAGTATCATCATAAAAGTGAGAGAAGCATCCAGGTATTGATATGCGTGGCAATTAAACACTTGGAGGCTAAAGTTTGGATCAGTTAACTAGTTTCTTATTATATGATCTGTACTTACTGGTGCTTTTGGGTATAATTTTGGAGCTGAACTATGACAAGCTGGGTGAAGCTTGCTGTTGCTTTATTATGAAAGTAATGGAGTACAAGTCAGCTCATCTTTGGATATGTACTTTTTATGGAAAAGAAAGATTGTAAGAGCTTCTGGAGTAAAGTTTTCCTTGTCATTTTGGGAAACAACGGTACCCTATGTGTTTTTTCGGGGAAGGAAACATTACTTCTTGGTTTTACCGCTATGTGATATTCTGCGATATATTTTTGTATCTTGAGATTAAGCTCTTATTTGATCAAATAGAGGGCATTCGTGCTGAAATTTAAGAAAATTGTGAGAATTTTGCTTTTTGCTTTCTTAATGATTAAGCAAAATACCTCAAATTTGGAAGAAATTAAACATTTTTAGCAGGTAGAGAAATTGGGCATAACTTCTTGTTGCAGCCTCCACAATATCTACTTTGCAAGACAAAAACATTTGCAAACTAGTTCAATCTAGAATTTAATATACTTGAAATTAGGTGAGCTAGCTACGTACTTTGTATCATTTCACAATAATGAATCCATGCTGGTTTCTTTTCTTTCCTAAATCAGCCAATGATTGTTTAAACGTTACTCACGAAATTATATGTTTTATTGAGAGATTGTTTAAATATATTGTCAATGAACACTCTTATAATTTTTTTGATTAATTAAGTGGCAATCTAATAATTAACAACAATAAATTCTACTAACAAATTATTGATTCCAAGCATAAATTAATCAGATTAAAGAATAATCAGAAATAAAACAACTACTAATTAATTTAAAAACTTCAATCAACAGAACGCTGAAGTGACAAAAAGAAATAAATTAGTTTAGTGATGAGTATACGTATATGTGTTTCATGACCAATCAACATGGGGACCCAAAAGGTAATAACAAAAACAAAAAACTAAAAGCATAAGGGACCCTAAAGAGGAAATTGATCAGTTGGTGAACTACACATATGTTTCAGCATATGCTAATTTGCATGCTATCATCCAGTTGGCAACCCCAATTACTTCAAAATCAAAGCAAATTTTGATGACTTTGATTTCAATTTTTGTGTAGAAGAGACAGCAAATTGAAAGAGAGCCCCCCTCCAATCCAATTTTAAGCCAAGTGGAAAATGTTGAATGGCCATGTTGTTCATCAAAATTGAGTTTGGTGGGCCATAATTTTCTGTTGATTGGTAATCAAATAATTGCTCGACACTTGAGTTATCGTTATGATGTATGTATGTACAAGTGTACTATCCCTAAACTTTTATGGCACTTTAATAGTAACACATCGTGTTTAGGGTACATAAAAGCAGTTGGAAGATCGGAGAAGATAAAAAGGAAACGAAGAAGAACCAGTCATTTCTAGAGATGACATCGTCTTTAAACTATGCATGAGATGGGACTAGCTAGCAAAGCTTCATAAAAAGACTGGATTTCCCTTCTTGAACCATTTATACAGCAAGAGGCAGTTAAGCAAGAAATTCAATATGTGGGTCAGCATTAAAAACAGATGGAACACGAAACCACATGGATTGTCTGTATCTACAGCTATCTGTGACTAATTACAGAAAATGCTTACTGATGAGAAATTGTAGGAGTATGTTGATTATGCTATGCAATCAATATTTTCCTGTCGAAATGCACTCCATCAGCGGAATGGCTTAAGCTTGACCGCTTAACATATGGGAGCAAAATCCCTCTTTATATGCTGATTACTTTTTATGTTTGCTGAATCTACTTTTCACGTCAATCATTTCATGATTGATAATCCAACCATTAAACTAATCAAATGATGTAAATAGCCTTTTGTTTTGTTAATGATGCAATTAGCCTTTTGTTGTCCTTGTGATTATGGTTGCTAATGAGGTTATGTAGGCAATCATTAATAAGGTAGACAAACAATCTAATCAGCTTTCTAATTGATTTGATGATGATAAGTAGGTTTGAAACTCGATCCCATGTGTTTCTTATTATTTACCATTACTCTTACTTCTTTCAAGGTTATAATTAATCCCTTGTCTTGCATTGGTAATTGGGTGCATGCAGAAGTAAACATATATTAGGCTATGGCAAGAATTACACCCTATTTACCATTAATAAGATAAAAAATAATAATATTTTCATCAAAAAAGAAAAAATAATATATTTAAAATAAGTAAATAACCCAGCAGGTGGGTGCTATTCATATTTATCATCCTTATAATTATTTTCTGAAGGAGGGCATGCTTGTCTTTTGTGGTCTCTTTGTTTTGGTACAACTTCCCTACACATGAAACTTTTGTTTCATTACTTATACAGAACTCCAAAATTATTTGAGTGTCAATTTTATGGAGAATTATTACATTAATTGAATGGACTGTGGGTTTTGGTGGACTATAACTCTTTGATTAATTTAAATTGGTTAGTGTTGTAGGTTTGGATATCATTATTAATTACTGAGTAGGTTTTTATAACGCAAAGTAATTGATTTCCAATTTATTCAAAGGTAGATTAATTTTAAGAACTCAATTATCCCATAAATTTAAAATTACTTACTCATTAGATGGAATTGAATGTATCATTTAATTTGACTCATTTTTTTAATTACAAAATAGTAGTACTAGAATGAAACCCAAAATGTTTCACTGTGTAATTGATGCAATCACCATTGCTTTTGATCTTAAATAATAGCTAGAGATCAATGCTTTGGCTACTTTCAGTGAAATTTGTCTAGAATCTTTTTCACAATGTTGGATTTTTGCTGCTTCCTTTTTCATGACAACACTCATATGTACTAGCATTGCTAAGATGCAACTCGTAAAAAAAAAAAAAAAAAAAAAAAAAAAAAACAAACAAACAAACAAACAAACAGTATCTGATATATTCAAGATACTCATGACTCTTGGACTTCATTTAAGAATGACACGTGAGAAAAGTATGATCCATGGCAATATTATTTTGTTTTGGTTTTTTTTATTAATATAACCATTCTATTTTAATACTATATATTATTCATCATCTCTTTTATGTATACTATTACCTTATTAAACCACAATTTCTCTCTATACAATGTCTTAGTTATAAAAGAATCCTCCATGCAGATAAAAAAAATTGTTTTTACAAGTACTCAGGCATCATTATCGTTAACCAACAAACTCTACTATTACATTACCTAGGAAAAAAACCCACCTCATTCTTCAAGGTTTTACAACCTTATTAGTATCAAAAAAAAAAAAAAAAGTTGCATACGTACAATTTTTTAAGGAAATAGAAGTCCATAGCATAGTTGGATGGTATGTCCACAATATATTGTTACAAGAAAGATGGGCATGGGTAAGGAAGGGTAAGGGGGAGTTCACCTCAAAAACCTCAGCATATGATGCCAGAACAGAGAAGATTCCAACTACACAAATTAAAGCCAACAATACCAACGACAAATGCATAACAAGTCGTGTCAACTACAGTAACAGCATCTTCCATCTAGTTATTTTACCTCGTCTCTTTCACTCTCTCTTTCCATTAAAGAGGAGGGAAGCAACATTATAAATAACTGTAATAACAGAATGACTGGAGAACCACAATAATTCAATGCCATAATGGTTATTTAATTAATTACTACTACTGCTATTTATATGCTCTGCATGGAAATAAGTGTCTAGCTAGCTATAGGGCTTAACCACCATAAAGCGCCTTTGGAATTTGTGCATGCAAGACTTTGAGGGGTCAAAGTGGACAGAAACAAGGGATCTACAAAAAGATCTGGTCTTGTTTGGTCGGTTGTATATGTCCTCTGTGTTCTTCAGCCATTGATGTTGCTGCCTGCCCTTTATTCATGTTTTAAGATGCCACTTTCATTCGATTGGACTTGGAACCAGAGCTTTTAATAAGCGAAGAAGCAAGCCTTGAACTTCCAATGGAATTTATGCTAGAACAAATGCAGCAGCTTTGCTTTGAATTTTTCATGTCTCCCTGTTTCTTAATTTCCCTGGTTATTATTATTATATTTTTTTCGGCTTTGACATCTCCTTGCAAGCTGGAAAGATAGATCCATCGTATTAGTAAGTGCAAAAGTCTTAGGATAAAACAAGTAAAGTACTGTTTATTTATTTATTTTGTGATTACTACATGATGGACATAGGGCTCACCAGATGTTTGAAGGGCGGCTCTACGTATTTATTTTATTGGAAAGAACACAAGTTGTTGGTTAACCCATATGGATTAAGAAATTTTTGTCTTTGCTCATCTACATCCCACATTAGGCTACCACCATCCTGAAAATGATGCGTTTGTCATTGTTAGAAAAATGTCTTCCTTTCCACAAATAAATAAATTCTTAGTAATTACCTAAACTCTCTTAAGCCTAGATAGCTAGGTGAATGGTCTAAAGTGGGCTTATAACAAAATAATAATAATATATATATATACCTGATGAGTAGTACTGAAGTCAGTAGTCCTCATTCCTTGAAGCAGAAGTGAAGCAGAATTATCAACAAGAGAATAGTTATTCGCTGCTGTTGCAAAGGTGGTTTTAGGAGTAGCGGTGGTGGTGGCGGCGGCTTGAGCAAAATCTGTGGGCTGAATAGGACTGCATTGTTGCAGAGATGGCAGTGGTGGAGACATGCTACTTAATCTCTGCATAGTCAAGTCAGTGACAAAGATCCTCATCAGCTTTATTCATAAACATTGTGGTTAAAGTTTGGACCAAATAATAAATTACCAAAACAATTTTTTTTTCTCTAGCCCTTAATTTATTACCTCTGGTCTGACCATGAATGCATCAAGGTCCATTCCAAAATCATAGAACAAGGGGTTAACAGAGGCAAGCTTCATGGATAGGAACTGTGAAAATTACAAAAACACCATGAGTTTAACATTCATGCATTACTGTAGTATTACATGAACCAGAAAAAAAAAAAAAAAAGAAAAAAAAAGGTAATCATCCTAAGCGTTAATTATTATTATTATTACCTCCACTTGAATTTGTAAGGACTGAACATAATTAATGATCTCATCCAACATAAGGGCCTTCCCAGTTACCTATTGTTAAACCATACCACATGAAGCTGTCAAATATATACGGACGTACTTTATTTAGAAAGGGAAAATTAGACGAGGAACTGCATTTTTACCTTGTCACAGCCAGGAACAAGACGCTGTAGTATCTTCATTCTCTCACTGATTTTCTCTCTTCTCACCTAATTAAAACCCATTAACAGAAAAGTATCAATTCTAATGAGACATGAATTTGGACATAATTGATAGATACAATTTAAGTTAATTAATTAACTTTTTTGTGAGGTAAAATGGGAATTCGCAATCTTATTAAATAAAATTAGAGTGTGCATTGAGCTCTGTTGTGGAGCATGGGATTCGTACCCTCTCTGCAAGGCTGTGGCTGTCTGTTGCTTGGCCTCTCCTTGCTCTTACATGAATGTAGCCTGTTGGAGGTTCTTCAGGAACTTTCTTCTCAACTTTTGGCTTCTTCTCTTCTTGTTTCACGTCACCGCAGCATTTCTTTTGTCTCTTGCTTTTCACTTCTTTGCCATCCTGTAACAAAAAATATTAAGTAATGAATAACGTATCTCCAAAAACCTCAAAACACTTTTTTTTTAACAGAATTTGCACTGTTGTAAATGAACTTTGATGATTAGGGTCTACCTTTGATTGAGCAGAATTCAAGGACCCATTAGTATTTTTCCTCTTCCTGTCCATAGGAGTGACTTTTTGAGTAACTTGCTCTCCAGTTTCAAGCTTATCAACCACAGTTGAGGAGTCTGTGCTCTGTTTTTTACTCAAAGAAATCTCATTATCACTAAGAGACACCTTAGAGCTGTGATCTTGATGGCTACTTTCATGAAATCTAAAATCAAAACTAGGTGTTTCATGAAAAGTTTCAGGAGGGTAAATTTGGGGAAAACAGTTGGTACTGATCTCGTTTCCAGCTTCTTCAAAAAAACCGTACATGTTCATGTTCTTAATAGGTGTAGTTATGTTCGGCAAGAGAATTGAGTCAACAGATAAAGGTTCGTGTTGATGTGAAAAGGCTGCCATTTGAGAAAGCGGTATAGCGAGAGAGAGAGAGAGAAAGAAAGAAGCTTTGGAATTGAAAAATTGCAAGTTTTCAAGGAAAGTGATGGAAGAGAGAAGCTGAAATGGTTGTCATGATGAAACTTGGAAGGCAGCCAGAAGCAGGAGTCAGGAAAAAGTGGTTCTCTGTGACAAAAACTTAAGAGGTCCCCAAGCTTATATAAAGATCAGGAATGAGAGAGAAAAAAACACTGCTACACAAAACTTCATACAATGTTTCTTTTCATTTGACTCGTCTTATCTCATCAATCTCTCTCTCCCCATTGAAGGCTAAAATAAAAACGAACTGGAGTATTTTAATTTCTACCAGTAATATATTAAATTGAATAAAAAGGAATAGAATTCTCATTAAAGACAAAAATGAAATTATTGTGCTTGTCTTCTCTGTTACGACTGAACAATCACCCCATTATTTTAGCTGCTTGCCTTTTTCTTTTTTTTTTCCTGCCCTTTTGATGTCGCGCTTTTAGGAGGAGTCAAAAATGATTCAGAAAATTTCACTACCTATTGCTTCTGCTATATAATGATGGTAATTAAATGAGAGCAGCTTTGGGAGCCTCTTAACTTCTTTAGCTTCTTTTATGAGCATTAGTACTAATTGTGCTGCTGTCAAAATGATGGGTACTTTTTTAAACCCACCTTTTCAGTATGTGTTAAATGCGTGATTTTCCTGTTTGAGAGAGAGAGAGAGAGAGAGAGAGAGAGAGAGAGAGAGAGAGGAGCAAGCTATTTCTTTCAACTTTTCTGTAAATTGTAATAACCAGCTTGGCAACCATGTCCTTGCCTACTGTGTTCTGCTACCGTGAAAGAAAGTTTATCAAGTATAAATTTCTGTAACAAAATTCCTAAAAAAATTTGTTACTATGGTGAATGTTGTTATTTTATTTTAGATTAAGAGTTCAAAACTTCAAATGATAAAGAAATAATAATAAAATACTAGTAAACTTTTTATTTCCGAGTCCCTCTAGCTAGCTAATTCCTTACCTAAAATATAAATTATTTTTAAATCATAGAGATAATGTTTTATTTAAACGTGTTTGCTTAGTTGATAAGTGAGTATACTTTTCATTTTTAATTAACTATTAAGTTAGACATAAACATTTTCTTTTTACGAATTCTCTAATTTTAAGTACTGTGGTGTGTTTCTTTTACTTAAAATAAAGAATGCACTAACCATCAAATGGTAACCCACTAATAAACAAATGCAGACTTATAAATTAAATTAAGAATCAAATACTTATGACCGATATTTTTTATTTTTGAGAATTTATTTTAAAAAATTTGAAATCGAGAATATTTAAAGATGAATTAGTCTTGATATATATAAAAGCTAATCTGAAAACATGTTTATTTTCAAAATATTCGAAATCATATGTTGAGAAATACCTTTAGCTATGTGCAGATAAGGATTGGTTTCGAAAACATATTTAACGTTGAAAAAAAAAAAAAAGGGGTGAAACTTTAGTTTTGACGTACACAACTTGCACTAAGGATATTATTTGTTTTTGAAAAAAAAACTCAAATTAAGGTAGAATTTGTGTATATATTGTAATTAAATATGGTAGGTTGACTTTATACCTCGGAAAGAAAACCTTTTATTTCCACCCCTCGAAGATTAAAAAAAAAATGTCGGTCAATTAAATAAACAGAAATTTAGAATCCAAACGGACTATAAAAAAAATTTAAAAAATTGAGAGCACCGTCTCTAAAATGAAAAATGGTTTGACCGCACCAAAGCCTTGAGGCTGACCCAACTTGATTACAAGATTAAGACTGCTCAAACGCAGGCCTCAAGCAAGCGGGGAATGCTTCGGCCCATAATTTCAAATGATATCCTTTAAGTTTTTTATTTTTATTTTTTGGGTACGCTGAGATTAACTCGATCTTTTCTGCTTCTTTTTTATTTTACGAATATGAAATTGGAGTTCGAAATTTTTTGAGAAGAAGAAAAAAAACTAATATCAAAATACATTTCAGTTCATTGGCAACTCCATCTCTTTTAATTTAGGAAAAAATAAACCATCAACGTGATTAAAAAAAGAAAAAAAAGTTGAAGATACCCTAATAACTAACCTATTACCCTTCCATCATTGTAATTTCAAGTAATAAAGATCAAGAGAATATATATATAAATTGTGACAGTCATTGGAATTTGGGAGGGATCAATGCCGTTATACAGGAGTAACATTCCCCATCAATTACAATCAATGCAGCTACTGAATTTAGTTCGTTGACCAATTGTCAAATCATCCTCTTATTTATTATTTTTTTCTTTCTTTTATCCTCTTGAAAAAACACTTGATGTTAGATGAAATGATTAAGCATAAGGTATTTTAAGGTATTTCGAAAAGAGAAAATGACAAATTGGGTCAATTTGGTATAGATCACTCCCAAATTCCAATGACTGTTTTCGGTAAATTACTAGAAACGATTGAGCTTAATTGCGCAGTACACCCTTTCGTGTGTGTATTATATATTAAAAAAATTAATTTTTATAAAAAAATATTTTAATCATTTACGTAAGTAATTTTAAATCTAAGTGAGCCTCTTTAAATAACTATATTTACTTTATGTGTCTAATAAATAACGGTAAATTAATCTAAGTGTTTAAGTTTCAAACATCTTAAGGATAATTAACAGTAACGACATGCGTCGTTTTCTCTTATACCCCCTTAAAAATTTCAAACTTTCTTAATTTTCCCTACATATTTAAATGCAAATATTTTTCTTCTATAATTGGCCACCCCATAAAAGGTGAATCCTTCAATGCTGATGCTGCTTTTAGTTCTAATACAGGTGGAATTGGTGTGAGGGCTAGAAATCATATTGACCAGGTTATGTTTTTGGCTCTGAAACTGTAGTATTCTATTGATGGTGAGGAATATTTGCTGTTATTTTATGGTGTCCAACTTGCTAAAGATTTGGAATTTATAAAAAAAATTGTCTAGAATTTGACTGTGTTAACCTTCATCATCAGTTTAGTATGGCTCAGAAAAATAGCTCTTACTTATCCTTTCTTGTTTTGAACATTAATACTTTTCTTTTAACTATATTAAACTTTTAAATAATAAAACTGCTCGGAAGTTAGCAAACTTAGTAAGGTTTAAAGTTGTTGAGTAGATTTTCATTGAAGATTTTTTTCATGTTTAAAAAACTAAATCCCTTATGATGTATTTCTCTTAATATCTTAATGAAAACATGTTGTGTGTGTGTATATATATATATATTAAAATCACTAATTAATCACCTTAATAATGATATAAAATTAAAAAAAAAAGTGACGTGAAAGTAAACAAAATAAATAAAGTAACAAGTACTTGGGGCCATGGGATGAGTTAAGGTTATATATATATATATATTCACTAGAAAAACTCATGAAACAAATGTACCAGCCTATAAAATTTACTGAAAATGACATTCTATATCTTATTTTATACGGAGATGACAAATGTAAGTTTAGCATTGAAGAATTATATATATATATATATTAATTTTATTTTTCTGATTGAGAGTTCAACAAGCCTTCAATTGTATATACAATAAGGAGTGGTTTTTTTTTTTTTTGAAAAAAACTCTAGCAGATATATAATATTGCTAGACTGAACTTTTTTTAAAAAAATAAATAAATAAGCAAGGAGCTTTAAACCTAATTATAAAAACATTTAAATTTGTCTTAAAATGTGTAAAACATGATGCAAAGACGTTTTTATTGTTGAAAAAAATAACACTTAAATTTGACCTATCCCATTAGAATTAAGTTCTATTTTGCTTTAAACTCGTCATGTATCTCCTTTGCTAAATAGAGGGGGTACCTACGAAGGCCTAATGATTGAATGCACTCAGATCATCTGACGTCTACGTAAACGGATACAGTATAATATGGACAATTAATTGAAGGAGAGTCAAAGAACCTCATTTATTGAAATCTTTTCGTGGGAAATTAAACCTCATAAATTTGACTGATGTTTAGTAATTGCATCAACCTGTTTAGTCTAATCTAAATTGATGTAAAAATGATAGCATTTGATTGCTTTGGGGATTCCAAAAATGAGAGTATTGTTTAGTTGTTGCCTATAGACATTCATATAATTCTTTTCCCTTGCCGATAAAATTAAAATTTTTAAATGTTACACCGATCAAATCAAAAATTCATTATTATTTTTAACCTCTAGAAACAAACAGAAACCGCTTAATCCACTCAAAAATGGGTAATGAACGAGTCAGAATAGATCCAAATAGAAACCATGAATTTTCATGTTTTTTTCACCATAAAATTATGGTGACATAAACTAAACAAAGTGTAAGTTAATCCAAAATAACCCACTGAGATCGTGTTTATCAACCAAAACTTCTAACAAATTTAATGAAAAAAATCAAAATTTTTTCAAAAACATGTTATAAGTATGTCATTTCTTTCTCTACTTGATGTCAATCAAAATTCAATTTTTTAATCGCAAAACTGTATTGGATAATTAACTTGGTAGCCGTTGTTGTGAATTAAAAATAAAAAATAAAAGAGGAATCACTATAGAACAAGAGATAAAAAGGAAAAAAGAGAGTGAAGAAACTGATTTTTTTTCTATACTTTTATATAATAAAATTAATAAAATAATTCTGACATATATGTCTACATGGTATTGAGTACTCATATTCAAAATAAATTTAAAAAAACCTTAATTTGAGAATAAAATTTAAAAATACCCTATTAAAAATTTAAAAAAGCCTTATTTGAAAAGGGGGAAAAAAAAAACACCTAACAAATAGCTAAATCCAATGAATAGGGTCAATCTTCCAAAAAGAAGATTTTTATATTAGAAGTTCGGATGCTTTAACCTGAAACTCAAGGAACAAATGTACGAGCCTATGAAATTTACAAAAATGACTTTCTATATCTTATTTTCTACCGACATGCCATATCTGAGCTTAACATTGACGAATTTCTTGATGGAAATAAATTATTTTTT